TTGGAAGTTTCTTACCAAGTTAAACATGTGTTTACCATATAACCTAGCTATCCTACTCCTGAGTATTTATCCTACAGGAGTGACTACAATAACCTGGATACGAATGTTTATAGCAGCTCTATTCATAATTGCCCCAAACTAGAAACCTAAACTTCCTTCGATGGGTGAATGGATGGATCCATAAGATAGAATATTATTCAGCAAGGAAAGGTAACATTATTGATTCATATGTTAACTTGAAGGAATATGAAAGGCTAAGTTAAAGAAGCTTGTCTTAAAAGATTACATATTCTATGACATTCTTGAAAAGAAAAAAACTTGTGAAGGAAAATAAAGTCAGTGTTAGAGGTAGGGTTAAGGTGTGGCTATAGAGAAATGATATGAAGATTTATGGGGCCATGAAAACTTCTGTATCTTGATAGTGGTGGTTACTCAAAGATCTACATGTGTTAAAATTCACTGAATTTTACACTCCCCCCAAAATGGCAATTTTATTGTATTGTAATTTAAAAAACAGACAAATTCAATTCTGACAATACTTCCCTAGCCTACAGGATGTATTCTAAATTTCTTAATATGAATTACAGAGCCCACCCTGGTGGTAGCTGTCAGCAACAGGGCTGTTTCCCTCATAAAGCCTCAGAATATGGTTTTATGGGGGTAGACTGAAATGTAGTCCTGAAAGTCACTCCTTTTTTTGTCTCAGTTTTTAGTATTAGATAGTTAAGGATTTAGAAGATCTGAGTTCTCACCCTGGTGTAGCATTTTGTGGAATCCTGGTCTAAATCAGCCTCAGTTGCCCACCTATTAAATGTGACTAATAACTGGCTCCCCAGGGTCATTGTTAGTAAAGCAGATGTTGAACAATTTTAGATCCCAGGCTTCACCAATTTTGCATCTGAACAGAACATGCCTTCCCACCTCAAACCCTTCTGGAGGGGTGAGGAGTATGTAATGTATATGTTAGGTGGACAGATTGTGTTGTCAAAAGTTTTTCAAGGTGCCTTTTGCATTTTTGCATCTATTTAGCAATGTAGACTATTCCTCTGCATCACTTCACCTCCCCAGTGACTAGTTCATTTCATTGAAATCTGTATTCTGCAGAGAATTGGCTTCTAGAACAATTATGTTGGCAGTTATTTCTCCATAGGATTGTGCTGAGTTGAAGCGAGATTTTAGAACATTTTTGGCAAATCCCTTGATGAAGATTCTTGGCTTGTGCTGTTGCCGTCTTCCTTCACTTGCCATTCCTACATGCATGTAGCTTGTTCAGAGCTTGGATGCCGCCCAAGCCCATCCCCCATCTCCACCATCATTCGACTCCCCCCATGCTGAGGTAAATGATGAGACACTGGTGTTGATTATATTTGTCCATTTATTAAAATATTTTAAGCAAAATTTCATTAACTTTGAGGACTGGTGTTCCATTTTTTTGTAAGAGGAGAATAGGCACACTTTGTGGATTTTGTCTTTCTGCTTTTTTCTGTTACCCCATTACTATCTCAGCTTCCCCCGCCAACCATCCCCTGGCCCTGCTGTTTATTTGCAAGAGCCTCTGAGGAAAGAAAAAACAGTAGAGAAAATATGGATTACAGATTAGCAGACAAATAGACAGATGCAGTTCCACAAACCATATGGCCAACCAAAGTCCTTTATAGGATGGAATGGTGCTAATGGGTTTGGTTGCTTTGGAATTAGTTTCTACCTCTTATGAAACTAAAATTGTCCTACTTGTGTACTGAGGGAAGAAATGTTGACCCCAAATGTTTTTTCTGACCAACCTTTAACCTAATATTAAGTTGAAACTCTCTTCCTTATTCTTCCCCTGCCTTTTGGACACAGCGCAGACCCTTTTTGGAGGACTGATCGCTGCTACCTGTAATATTGACACCAGAAATGGTTGGTGGTAGTCCAAGTCTCTTGGTATTCTCCTTCCCCACTGTTCTGGCCAGGAATTGCCCAACCAATCTCTCAGAAAGTGCTACCAAAGATGCAACCAAACCCTAGAACTTTGGCTCTTAATGGCTTCTCTGAACATAATTGAGATGGATATTTGGTGTCTGGTCCCACCACTCAAGCAATTGTATTACTACAAGTAGTTAATAATGAAGTCCTGAAAGGAGCTTATGCATCCAGAGGCTAAGCCAACTCCCCTGAGAAAGAGATCACCACTTGCTTTATTTCCAAACTAGTGCATATAAGAACAAGTACTCAGCAAGCTGTCTTGCTTTTTGGGAAGCAACTGGTAACTAAGCAATTTAGGAAGTAACCAAGTGATTTAGCAAGCCACGTCTGATCCTGGGCCTCATCACCTATTAATTTTGCTCCATGAGTTGACTCCAGCCCTAAATCCCTGTGTTTTTGTTCAATATCATTCTGAGTAAGGGTGGGAGGACAGGGTAGGTGAAAGGGGATCCAGATGGTATAACAGAGAAACAGTAGCATTACAGTGTACAAAGACGTATAGTATGTCAGCAAAGTAAGCACAAAAGATGGAGTCCTATTATAGTTTATTATCATCAGTGATAAAAATAATTACAAGACCCAGCCCTGCTTCGGCGCTGCCAAGATAAGACTACCCTCTCCTTGGACTTCTTTCTGTTTCATTAAATTTGCTCGTTTGGAAATTTTCCATTTTAGAAAAGACTCATCTGAGAAAAATGCAACTTGTTTCCCAACTCTGTGAGTGAGCATGTGTGCAGGTATTAATGTGTACAGCCACAGAGGAGCCGAGTCAGGCTGCATTGGTGACCTTGTTATTTAATCTAATACCTCCTCCTGGGAAGAGTGATGCAGAGAAAGCCAAAGGCACAGCAACAGCACACTCTCTACTCAGATGTGTATAGTAAGTTAACATATGCTGATGCTTAAATAAGTTTTAAATGTTTTATCTTTTTCCATTAACATTCTTCTGAAGTTGTAGACCTATAACTTTTTGGTTTGTTTGGCACAGTAATCAGACATTTGGGGACTATCCCCTTGGTAGTATTTTTCTCCTCAGCCTTGCAGAGGTGGAACACAGGTGGCTGGTTTAAGCGGGCTAGGCTGGTGAAGTTCCAGAGTTGAGAACCAGTGTGTGGAGTCTGGATTGTGCACCTCAATGAACCTTCCATTGGACTGAATCAGGTAATTGAGCACACTAAGTTTGAGAAGTGGGGAGAGGCCAGTTTTCTAGCTTTTTTCTCTTTTTAATAAGTGGGACGGGATACTTACCTCAAGGTATGGGTGTGGGTGGGGTTACAAGGCAGTTCAGAGAGAACCTCTCTGGATGCTGTAGTTTTGATTAGATTTGCCTGACTGGGAGTGGGCATTTAAAAAATGCTAATTGGGGTTGGGAGCAATTTTGGCCTAGTTTTATTTATTTATTTTCATGAGAAATGCGGAAGAACCATGGGAGGAGTGGAGGCTTTTAGCCTCTATTTTCCCAGGCCCATGTTCTTTCTGGTTACTCTGAATGTCCCTCTGTACTCAAGTGAAAGAGCAAGATGGGAAATTTGAAGATGATTTGATGACTACCCAACAGCATGTCCAGAAAATGTAGGCCAAGATGGAGCTCGTGGGCAAGGGCCTAGGCTGTTATTTGACTGTCAGGCAGTCCTTAGCTTAGGCATCTAAATCATAGCTCAAGGCCTGGTTGCTTCATATAGTCTTTTTATTGAAGAAGGAGAAAACACAGGTTGGGGTAGTTGTTGATGTAGAATCCAGGACAAATAGAGCAAAAAAGGCAGCATGCCAGCTTAGCTCCCTTCTCTAGGGCATTGGTTTTTTGTTTCCATTTCCATGGCCTGGCTCAGAAATTTAAGGGTGCGTCAGAATCAGCTGGGCTATAGGTAGATTCCAGCCACTTCAAAGACGCTGAAAATGCACCAAAAGATTAGAAGTTCCACCAAGAACTAGGGCAGTTGGTAGAGGCATATGTGTGTGTATGTAGGATAATGGGGGTAGGGGATGGGATCAGGGTGGGGAAGGATTTCTTGGTTAGCACAATAAATTATAGGGTCACTTAGAGGTCAAGTTGTATTTTTAATTTTAAAAAATATATATAATATTATATGTATATAATATATACATCTTTATGTCTCTATCTATACTGCAGCACAGTGGCAAAACATTTAGTTAAAAAATCCAGCGAAAATGTTGGAAGCATGCAGGCTAGAATCAAGGCAGGAGGAGGGGAGCCTGTATGGTTGCCGCCAGAGCACCACCTTATGTATATAATATACATCTTTATGTCTCTATCTATACTGCAGCACAGTGGCAAAACATTTAGTTAAAAAATCCAGCGAAAATGTTGGAAGCATGCAGGCTAGAATCAAGGCAGGAGGAGGGGAGCCTGTATGGTTGCCGCCAGAGCACCACCTGGACATGTGCAAAGACATACATACACACATGGAAAAACGAAATTTGCAGAGAGAGCAGTCATCACATCTACAAGGAAAGATTTCACGTGATCACTGTAATAGGCAAGTGGACAAGCCCCCAGGACCTCATTCTCATCTTAATAAGCCAACTAGAAGAGAACTCCTGAAAGTTGCAACTGGCAGGATTGAGAGAGAAAGACAATCAAGCCTGGCTATCCTGACCCCTCTCTTCATCTCCCTGAGGCTATTTATTTTATTCATTCCTTAGCATCAACTGTTTCTCTGCTACTTAGAGAAAACCATTCCCAAATTCCCTGAAGAGGTGAACTCCCTTGAATCCTTTGTAGATCCCAGGCATTCATAAAGAGCTCATTCCAATTAAATACTGTAGTTGCACAAGGTGCACAAAGAGAAGGACAACTGAGCAAGTTAAATCAGAACAAGAATATGGCTGATGAGATGATATAAACCTCAATGGAGACCTGATTGAGTCCAAGAAAAATGTATTAGTGTAAAGAATCGGGAGATTTTCTTGTTGGAGCTCATGTTCTGAAATAATTTAGCCTATATTAAGGTTTTGAGAGATTTTTTTTAAGTATAATTCTAAATGTTGTGGGCTCTCCATCCAGCTTTCAAGGGCTACAGTTGAGATCTTGATGATATTGGAGGATCATCATCTTTTTCATCTTCACGGTTTCTGCGATGCCACAAATTTCCTTCAGAGAAAAAAAACAAGTATAGAAATAATGAATCTAGCATATTGCCAGATGCCCAAATATATGGACCCTAAAGAGAACAAACAAAGACTCTGTTAGGAGACAGACTGGTTTGTTTCTATTGTACCAACCACCTCTGAACAATCTAAGAAAACCAGTTGATACCATGTGAGCCAAACACAAATGGGATGAGTTCTCAGAACCTGATAATCCATGGAACTGCTATTGACCCCTTCAAGGTCTTCAGAAAGACTCTCAAACACCATGGTCTCTCAAATGGCAGATTCTTATGGAATCAAACCCATTGGACCAAAGTTGAGAAAGCTTGGTCTAGGAGATTCTCCCTTGGCATTTGTGCAAACTCTCAGTTCTTCAAAAACAAAGTGCCACCGTCCATCCCTTTTCCCCCATGCGCTCTATTGCTATATCTTTCAAGCTTCCTGGTTGTCTAGGCCAAATTCAGAAGAGACCATTGACATCAGAATTGGCATAACTGACAACTCTAAGAGAACCTTCTTTTGAGCTCCACTGATGTATTGATAATGAATAAGTCCAATTCTGAAGAAGAGATGGAACCAAAATTCCAATAATACAACATACAAATTTTGTATTTCCAGGGACTTACTATAACAAGGAATAAAAACGTTTAGAAAGGTAACGAAACCTTGTCCTGACCCTATAGGTGCCCACCACTGATACTGTCAATCCATTTCAAATAATACTGCTTTCAGGACCAAAAGCTTGTAGTTGTATTTGACTAGGAGAGAGATCTAAGTATGACTACTGTGCCATACTTTATCAACCTATAACAGGAATGGGTGGAGCAGAAAAGTAACTGCTTATTATCATTTTTCTCTTCAGCTGTCTATTTCACAGAGACCACACAGCAGGGTTCCTTTTCAGGTTCTTTCCCTGACAGTGTCCATATCACATTCTAACTCATCTTGTCTAAGGAACTGCTTAACATTACCTAAGGCCGGCTCCCAACTAGCCTCCTCCTCTGTCACCACAATACCTGTGGACATTTCTAATTGGAGTTTTAGGTCCTTGGGAGGTACCAGGGTTACTGGGGAAGTTTTCGTAACCCCTATACCTGTGGGGGAGACTTACCAACAAAATCCTGGACTCTTTGGCATGACTTAGGCTTATCTTCCTCTTCTAGTTTCTTCTTCCTCAGTTTAGGGAACTTAACTTTCAATCTGAGGCTTCTACTGTCAGTGTCTGAAAATTTGTCCTGGGAAACCATAGCAAGAGGAAGGTCAAAATGTTAGTTGCTTAACATTCAGAAACAATTCCAAGAGGCCTGGCAAGATGATGAACGAGGATGGCTGAAGAAAGCAGGCAGATCTGCTATCTATCCAGGTGAGGGAGACACCCCTAACCACTAATCCCATGTGCTAGGAAGGCAAATGTTCTTTACTAATATCCTATTCTGTGTCAGATGCCTTGCTAGATGCTTTAATAAATGCTTTCATATAAGCCCCAAAACAATCTTGCAAGGTGGATATTATCACTCCTATTGCAGAAATGAGGAAGCAGAGTCTCAGAGAGGTAAAATATGTCACCTGAGGTCATGCAACTAGGGATTAGTAAGGTAAAATTGCTAGAGTCACTGATAGCTCATGTGGCACCTTTGCATGAATTAGAAAAAATCACCCCTTCCTTCAGACATATGGTTTGGTGATTCCCAACTCACTCCCTTGTCCAAATACCTTCCTATAGGGAAGAATTTGCCACCTAGGCCACCCAATTTCCTGTTTGGAATGGAAAGAATGTTCTTTATACATAGCTCTTAATTATGAATGTGGGTTCTCTACTATACAGATCATGAAGGCTCTTTAATTCTAGCTCAGCCTCCCAGTCTTCTCACTTCTACTAAAGCATGCTTGTTTCACTACTGGTCTCAGTGCCCTAAGGTTAACTTTGTTGCCAGAAAGTTTAGTCAAACACATTCCAAGAAACTTTGGGATTTTCTTCTCTTTAAGATTATGTATACTTCTGATCCCCTCTATTAGAAGAAGAGTATAAAACTGTGCTCCTCCTCTTCCTGTTCTGACCCCTACTTATCCTGTCTCCTCTAGGCTACATACAAAGGCCATCAGAATTGCCTTTCAGAAGAAACCTAAAGGAAAGCCACAGGACCTTGCCCCTCAGCCAAAGCCTTGGAAAGCACAATGAATAATTGACTTTCATCCTGCTTTTCCCCGCCAAAGTGGATCTGCATCTTCTCTGGCCTTAAGGTGAGCAATAATGTCATGAATGAATGAGCAACACCTTCCTGGCTTTCTTTCAATCCACTCTGCCCTTATTTAGAGCCTTACTTCTTCATCTTTATGGGAATACCAAAGCTCAGAAAAGAGATTATGCCCTAGGCCAGGCAGACTCACATACTGAGACCTCAGGCCATGGATGGTTTTCATTGTTTCTCTCAATATCCAGCCCATTAGCATAGTTCAGGGGCTTGGTAAGATATACCTGAACTGAGTAATAATAGAAACAGGGTGCTAGAAGAGTTTGCTTCCTTTTCTTCATACCAGCATGTTTCCTTTCCCCAGAGGGCTGCAAATCAAGAGCAGCAAAGTCGTCAGCAAAGGCAGATAAGAAAGTTATTAAATCCTTTAAGACCTGAAGTTGTATATGGCTTTTTCTCTGAATTGGTAACCTGATTGCTGTATTAGTCCAAACATGCCTATATGGCTTGTTCACATGCATATAATTGGTGTATGGAGCCAGAAAACAGGTATGATGAGTAAGGAAGCCAGGGATTCCTACAGTTTGAAATGAGCCATTCCATGGTGGGAAAATTTAAGGAAAAACCCTGTCAGACCATAAAGGGTATAATTTATCTAGTGATAGTTGGACATCTTTGGGTCATTTGAGTTATTATGTAGGACTATTTTTCGATCTCAGGAAAGTGCTCAGAGTTGTCCAAAAATGACAGCGTCTCTACAGCTATATTGTAGCTACTACTACCATGGTTGATTGTCTTTTAAGCCACACATCTGGTAGGGGAAGGCACTGGAGATACTTCTATCCTCCCAGAGGGGAATGGATAATAAGCAGCAGAGAGAGGTGATATTTGGGAGATTTAACCACCAGTAAAGCCTGAGAATCAACCATATAGAACGGAGGTTGGTTGTAAGCAGCTGGTATGGCCATCATGCAGCTACTAAGCAGGGAGGGGTAATTGTGGCCAGGAGAACAGCACAGAAAAAAACAATCTTGCTTATTCTTTCCCAATCATTTTCTGCCACAGAATGGTTCTTCTTCCTAGTCATTTTTTTATGGTCATGTAATTTTTCAGTGTGCTTTCTGCCTTGTCCTGTCTACTTATGATGAGGAGGTGGGAGGAGGAGCTTCCATTAAGCTCAATCCAAAAACCACAACTGGACTCTCTCTGCTATTCAGTCACTGTGCCCTGGCCCACACTAGAAGGTAAAGCACAAAGAAGAATTCCTCTTCCCCTTTATTTCTCAATCCCCAGATCACACACCTCGGGGACAAGGATTGAATTCATCCAGTCAATCTCAGATAGCTTTTCAAACTCCTTATTCATGGCATCCAGGGTGGTTTGCAGTAAAGCCTTATCCTCAGCATTTCTCAGCTGGTGAAGACAAGAAAGAGAGTGAGTGTCCAATGCCTAGTACTCTGCCTTCGTAGACTCTTGCCCTCTCACCGACCCCAGTCCTTGCTAGTGGCCATGAGACCGTAGGGTGGCAACTTGCATCTCTTTTGGCCTTGGGGTCATGGAAAAGTGTAGCGAGATCTTTTTCTCAATTGGGAGACCCAGGAAACAATCAGATTGTATGGCTTTCCTTGGGACTAGACATGCTCACAATTTGGTAGGAAGAAAGGCCCTTTGACCAGTGTAAATTAACACTGAGATTATACCCCTGTAGCCTAGGGTCTAGGATAAGTGTCCTACCCTTGACTCTAAAAGTCCCTGGAGATATCTAAGTGTCTCCCTAAATAACAGCTACCAATTTTTGAGCACATACTGCATGCTAGGCACTGTGCATGCATGATTTCATTCCATCTTTACAATAACTTTATAATATCTTATAAGGTACTAGTCTCATTTTATAGGTGATAAAACAGACTCAAAGAAGTTTAGTGCTCAAAATCACATGGCTAGACAGAACCCTGATCTGTTTAACTCTATAGCCTATCCTCTATACCACACAGTCCCAGAAAGAATATGTGAAATGGCCAGATTCTGGGGACGAGAGAGGATCTTTATTACACAGCTATTATAATTTGAAGGCTGCTTTGTGAAACAAGGAGAGGGCTAGAGAGAGATTGGCTCAATTTTCTTTTCTGGCAAAGAGGGCCTACCTCCCCAGTCTGTGCTTTAGCCCATATCTCTTCACTTTCAATAAGAAATGAGTTTCAGATGGTTTGTCCCACAGGTTCAGGAAACACAGTTTAAGCATTCTCTAGTAACCCCCAGCACCCATAGTATGAACTGTATTCAGTCCATGGGAGACATAAAATGCATTATCCTGGGACCATCTTCAACTCAGACAAAGATGAGATAGTTTATGTTTCAGTAAATAGTGAACTGGGAGAACAAATGCATGCTGATATTTTCATCCCGAACATGTTTTCCAGTCCACCTTACTTGGCCTCACCTCTCCTCCCTGGCATGCTCTACTTTCAACCTGGCCCTTATGTGGCTTCTTGCTGTGCATGGGCCACTTGATGTTCCAGCCATAAGTAGAGCCTTGCCTACTGTCACAAATGGATGGCAGCTAAATGGATAGGGGATGGGGTTGAAGGTGATGGCCAGTCAGGATGGGATATGAGAGAGAAACAAGTCAGGGCTGACAAATTATCTCTTGATTTTGTCTTACAACTAATGATTTAGGACAGTAACAGGTATCCCAGATGCACAGACATTTATGTGCCCATGGCAGTGGGATGGGGGAGAATGGGTATCAGGTAGAAATGGCCATCACTTCAAGGTAATGGGGGAAGGGGTAGGAGTCCTTAGGGGCATGCTTACCAGCAATGCTCAAAAGGGGTTTGGTAGTCAAACCCAAAGGCACAGAAAAGAAAAGAATTTGGACTTTGGAAAATGATTCCTAATTATAACCAGAAAGGAATAAAATTGCTTCCTAATGACTTCTTATTTGGCATCTGGAGACTTAGGCTCTGAAAAATAATAGGTGGGTGAACCTGAATCTTGTATTCTATTCTCCTGTCCTTCTGGCTCCAGTGGAAACCTTGTCCAGGACTCTTCTCTGAGGTAAATATGTAAACTGACTCAGGACTTTGTTGGTTATGTCTTGGTTCCTGTCCCAACACATCATTAGCCATAGCATAAGTGAGGTTGCCAAATAAGGGATGTGGGAGTTACTGGGTGGCATTTACTTCATAAGTCTACATCCCTCTGCCAAAACCGAGCTCCATATTCTCTTTCCTCAAGATGAGGAATAACAACACCCAAATGAAATAAGCCTTATCTCCATGCTACCTCTATGACATAGCCTTTCTGGAGAAACTTTGTCTTTCTTAGTTAGCTGCCTCTTGCCCAGTGGTCTCATTTGGATGTGCATATGTGTGGTTCTTTACCAGTTCCTTTGTTAAGAATGCTATGTACTCAATTTGGGCTTTTGGCTGGCAGGAACCAATATTCATGAGATGAGCCTCAAGAAAGCCTGAGTGACAATGAGAGGTCAAGTTCCCATATTTCCTGCTGCCCAAACTGGCAAGGCCATTGAGTTTGCCTATGTTTAGAAGGTACGTTTGTTGCTACAGTCTAAAGCTGAAAGACTCTAGCTTGAGATTCAGGTGCTGGGACAGCTTGACCTGATTGCCTTCGCCACTCTGCTGCCTGTGCAGTGTGCCAATTAGATGTGCAAATGGAAAAGAGGAAGATATACTTCTTGAAATATCAACTCAGAAGCCCTTCTTCAAATAAACCATAGATGAGAGACAAGAACAGCATCTGCCTCAGGGCCTTAAACAGGACCCAAAAATGGAGTGGTCATCATCAGTTGACTCATCAGACCACACTCACCAAGTGTGCTTATGGACTTTGCCTTCTGCAAAATACTCAATTATGCCTCAGACTATTTTTCTTAACACTAATAAAATTTACCATCTATCAGGCTGCTACTATGTGCCAAGCATAGCTAGGCACTTAATATACAAGTTTGTTTAATCCTCACAACAACCTGGAGAGGTAGAGATTGCAATTCCTATTGTGTAGGTAGGGAAACTGAGATCCAGAGAGGTGAAGTTATTTCACATAGCTAGTGTTACGGTTTCAACTATGTTCTCCTCTCCTCCAAAAGATATGTTGAAATCCTAACCCCAAATACCTCAGAATGTGACCTTATTTAGAAATAGTGTCATTGCTGATGTAATTAGTTTTTAAGATGAGTAGGGTGTGCCTCTGATCCAGTATGACTGGTATCTTTATAAGAAGATGGCCATTTGAAGACAGAGGGACATAGGGAGAACACCGTGTGAAGATGGAGGATGAGAATAATGCATCTGCAAGCCAAAGGAAACCAAAGATTGCCAACAAATCACCAGGAAGAGGCAAGGAAGGATTACCCTACAGACTTCAGAGGGAATATGGCCCCATTGACACTGTGATTTCAGGCTTCTAGCCTACAGAACTATGAGAATAAATTTCTGTTGTTTTAGGTCACCCAGGGCTTAGTACTTTGTCTCAGCAGCCTTAGGGAACTAATACAGCTAGTAAATGGCAGATTTGGGATTTGAACAGAGTACCCCAACTTTTCCCACTATTCTATACTGTTTTTCCACATGGTGAGAGAAGTATGTGGATACTTGGGAGATACAGAGCAGCTCAAAAGAACTCACTCTTTTCTACTGAAGCTGTTTTATATGTAATGAGAACAACCTACTTTTGACTGGCCTGGTCTGGACCCAGGAGAGGGGGAGACTTTTCTTCAAGGATATGGTAGTCCCTATAGGTTAGCATAACCTGTGAAGTGATACAATCAGTGACAACCTTGGGTGAGGTTGATACAGCAGAGACTGCCAGGTAAGCACCTGGACAAAATGCTCCTACAGGTCTTCCAGTGTCCTAGAACCAAGCATAGACCATGACCATCTTCAGATGGGAGACTTTGCCCTCCCTTGTTCCAACCCCCTCCACTCACCAAGTTTTCATCCAGGAAAGCTTTGGTGTCATTGTAGAGCCCTTTAAGATTAAATGTAACATCTGCTGCATCATTTCTGCTTAGAGTCTGAGAGAAGAAAGAAAAAGGAAGAGAAAGGACAAAGACAGAGGAGTTGTTGGTTAGCAAGCATGCAGTGGCTGGCTTCTCTGTGGGAGGGTAGGAGCAGGCTAGTAGGATATATGGCTGTAGAAAAAGTATTTGAAATATAGCACAACTAGTACAGCATGGGTACCAACCAATCAGAACTGACTCCAGCTGTCAACCACTGTAGCTGTATTGGTGTGTCCTTTGAAGTGACACCGCACAACTTGGTATTTGGCATCATTGATTGAATACTTTTGGTATAGGGAAATACTAATAGCAAACCAGAGAGTAAATTGTTGCCGCTGGGCTAAAGCTACCTTTCCCATTATAGGTGAAGTTAGGCCCAACTAGCTCTCTTCTTGAAATTCTAGGCCTTGAGCTCCAGGCCTCCTCCAACTAAGATCTGGCCCCAAATAAATAGGTAACCCGCATTTTAGGAGGCCCTGATCCTATATGTGGCTCTTTTGTATCTTTTGCCTAACACTGAAGTTACTTTTTAAAAGCATCCTTCAAATCTGGCAATTTAAATCTGGGTGAAGTCATGGGATAGCATATTTAACATTAAGTATCCTAATCTGGACCTTTCCTTCAAGAGGGAAACCAGGGAAGCTTGGAGCTCAGGTTTCAATGACAGGTGTCACCTTAACAGGTTACCTGGGATGAGGAAGAGCCAAGGCCAAATTTCTCTCCATTCACTTGCCATTTATCCCCTTAGGTCAGTGTAGTAGATGGCTATCAGGGAAGAGGGCTAGCTCTCAGGCTGATGAAATCTGATATAAGATTTCCCCAGTAGTCCTCTGGACCTGTAACGAGTCAAGGAATACCTACGTGCTTTCCCCTCCACTCTATCCACCAGTTTCCTGACATATCATTTTCCCAGTTTTTCCACCTAGCCTTCAGCTCCCCTTCCTTCCCTTTCATTCCTTTTCTTATTTGGTTTGACTCCTTTCCTTCATCTGCCCCTCCACCTCTTACCTCAATGAGAGTACAGGAAGCTGCACCTGCCTCGTTGCCATTGTATTGGCCATAAAATACATTGTTCAGGATGTTAGCACTGGCATTCACAGAATCCATGAGGACAGACACATGCTGGTGGACCTTGCTCAGGTCAGTAAGTCTGTAATAAGACAAGGACAGATAGATGAGTCTAGAGTTCTGAAGGAATTCTGGCCTGGGGTGCTGGTGAGGGTTGGGATAAGAATAGAAATGAAAGCCCTGGGTACCCAAATTGGATTTTTTACTCCATCCTATTATTTCTACTCATCTATATGTGGCCACATATGCCAAAAAATGTTTCTACTCTTCTCTAGGTATTCACCTTTGTCCATCCTTGTATCACCTGTATTAAATACTGGGTTCTTTGGGAGAGTGGGAGACCAAACTAAGGAAGGGCAGCTGACACCAGGAACTCCAAGGCCCTCCTGATATTTAAGAGCAAGGATAAACATTCTTAGTCCTGTTGTGTCTGGGGCAGCAGGAGGAGATCAAAATTCATCTCTGGGCCTAATGGGAGAGGTCCAAATTGGCTTATTGCCGAGCATAAAGACCATTTCTGCCTGGATTGTTAGAGTCCCTGTCAATCTTCAGAGCTCTGGGTAAGACCCTTTTCTGATCCCAGGCTCCCCAGTAGCCAATAGACACAAATTGGCTTCTCTCTATCCCTTCTTAGGATTCCCAGCCCTGTATCTGGTCTAATCCACTTACCTGCTGATGAGGTTTTCTGCAAGCTGAGCTAAGTGCTGCATCTGGGCAGACTCCTCATCAGAGAGGATACCCTGAGATTCTCGGGAGTCCAGCTGGGGTTGAGAGGCAGCTTGAATTTCAGTATGCTTGTACTCCCACATTTTCATTGAGTTCTCAATGTCCTGGAGATGAAGACAATGGTAGATCTTAATGTTTACTGTAGTTAAGATGGCATGCGACAGAGCTGTCTGTGAGTCTGATATTTGTGGGTATAGTGAGTAAAGGGGAAAGAAGGCCCAACCATTCCCCCATATACCAACTTACACACCTATACATCTATGCATTATTTTATTCAATGTCTCTTCTATACTAGGTACTTTAGGTTTTTGTTGTTATCGATACTATGTTGAGTCTTGGGACAACATGCTTCAATTAGACAAATGTCTGCCTTACAGAGACTCCTATATGAGGGCATCATTATCAATAAAAACGGTGGAGCACCTTTCATGATCCTTTCTTTGGCAAATCTAGGTAATATGTTGTGATGGATTTTAGAACTAGACGTATTTAATTTTGATTTTTTCTTCTATCATTTACTAGTTATATAACCTTTAGCAAATTATTTAACCTCTCTGGTCCTCATTTTCCTCACCTGTAAAATGTTAGTAAGTGTATCTATGTCATAGGATTGTTGGAGGACCTACTTTAGAGAATATATGTAAAGTGCCCAGCACAAAGTAGGCAGCTTATAAACTAGACTTCCCCTCTATTGCTGTTTCTATGGACTGTCTTCAGGTCAGAATGGAATAAAGCCCCCAAGCATTGAACATCTGATCAATAATGGCTCCTTTCTAGCTTTAGATGATTTAGCTGAAGTGTATGACATTTGTGAATGCAGCATTTTAAGGAACCGTAGAGGAACCTAAAGACCATATTCAATGAAGAATCTCTTATTGAAAGAGCAGATTTCTCCATACACACCAGAGGCTAAAGCTCTATGTGCAGTGGAGGGAGTACAACTTTGTCTAAAACTACGGGAGGGAGCTCCTTGTCTCACTCTCTTGGACAGTGGTTTGCAAATGTCAGTATATATCAGAATGTCTCAGGGCCTGGTTTATAAATGCAAGTTCCCAGGAACTACCCATTCCCATTCTGATTCAATGAGTCTGGTGTAGAAACCAAGAATGTTCATTTCTAGCAAGCACCCAAGGTGATCCTGATGCATGTAGCATTCAGACATCCCTTTGAGAGTTTCTGCTTGACTGGAAATATTCAGTACTCAAGTGATAACTGTAGATGAGACAATGTAGGAACTCAAGACAAGCCTTTTATCTTCTTACCCGATCTCTTATCAGCATTTGGGCAGCATTCTTGTATCTAATCTTGATAAGGCCTGGCCTCTGAACCCAGGCCTCCCCATCTACCTGCACTGGAATACCTTCTTCACCATCAATGGTTATCATCACCTCACGGCACTGCCAGAGAAGAGGAGGAGAGAGAATGGGGGAGAAAAATGAGGCATCTACTATAGAACAATCTGATAATCCCACAGTCATGGCTTTATTTATATCTGAAACAGGACTGTTAAGGATGTGAATCAGATTATCTCAGGGAGAAAACAACTATCTATGGACTTTTTGCTCCTTCAGTCCCTACCACCTCTGTCTCCAACCTTAGCCACCTTGCTGCCCACCAGATAATTGCCTCCCTCTACCCTAACACTCTTATTCCCAGTTAATTTCTGGGACTACCCTATACCCTAGGTTGTAGGCACAGAGCTCAGCCCCCTCCTGGTGCCCGCTCAGCCCCTGACTACCTGGGCGATGCGATGATGATGCAGGTTGATGATACGGGACATTGCCATCTGTATGGAACCAAAGATTGCCACTACCTCCAGCTTCCCATCATCTATTGCAGGAGCCTCATATTCCTGAGGTAGAAGAAATATGTCATATATCCCCTTGAGAAACTACACCATCTCTATCACAAGCAGGTATGCTTTGAAGGTTTCCTGGTGAAAATTTTTCTAGTTCATGAAGAGTGGAGTTACTAATTTTTAAAAGGAGAAAGATGAGGTCAGAAAGCCAATCTAGGACAAGGGCACTGAGATCATAATTCTTAGCCCCGTTGGAGATCACAGCTCTCAGCTGGTTCCCTCCATGTCCAAAGTAGCATCATAAATGCCCAAGGCCATTCCAATTAGACTCATGGCCTTCTTATGTGAGCTCAGAGGAAAAGGGCCATGGCTAATTTCCCAGGTTTTATCTATAGACATCTTTGGAGAAAAGAACATGGCCTAGGTAACCTTTCAAGGATCTGTCAGGCCTGAGGAGTGGAAAATTCAAAGTCCAGACAATACTTAAGAATTGATCTGATCCTGAGGGAGGTCTTTGGTTGATTCTTGTGCTCTGAAATGGTAATTGCCTTTTTCAAAACTGCTTATACAGCTGTTACTAATAAAGGTTCCCAGACCACCTCATGTTCCCTCATTGTCCACTTCCTACTCCAGTCAGTCCAGTTCTCCTTTCTGAGAGAACTTTAGAGGGTCCAAACCTTTCTCCCTCCCGTTCCTTGTTCCATATTCACCATGGTTGCTGTGCTGCTTCCCCAGAAGTTGATGCCTCCGGCATAGCTGGTAATGTTGAGCACTACAATGCCTTGCAGATTTGGCAAGGAGATGGCTTCTCCATCACACTGAAAGATACCAATGTGAAGAGACATTTACAAAGATGGGAAAAGAGCTCTATCTTCTCTTCACACTATTATTTTCTCATCCATAAAATAGAAATCTATCTTCATGCCTTTCTCCCATGAGCTGTGAGTGAGCTGTGAGTTAAAGCTTGGGGAGAACTAGGGAAAGTTGATCCCTAAAGTCATGATATTTCCTTTTTCTATGCCCAGAAAGGATAACCCTTTTTTCCACTAACCTCCAGGTGCACTCGTTCTTCAAGTTTCCTGTAAGAGCGTTGCAAAAGTTCCTTGCTTCCCAAGAGGCCATACCACATCTTGTTCTTAAGGCGGCTACTACAGAGAGATAAGGGTAGAGAAAGGCAGCCATATGGTGAATAATATAAAAATGAATGGATGAGGAAAAGCAAGAGGGAACACCATTTTATTCCTCATGTGCCTTCATAAAGAGAGGAGTCATACTGAATGGAAACTGGACACAAGAGGGGATGCTACAGTGGTGTAACTGGTATCCCCATGCAAACACATGCTGAAATGGGTTTCTGGGCCCCTCAAAGCCTCAGTATCCCATCAATATGTAAATTTGCTAGTTTTTCTTGCTTCTGATATTGATTCAGACTTGGCAGAGATAGGCAATATTGAGAAAATACTATTCATAAAAAGCTGTGAGCAAAGCCGGTTGTAGATACTAGCTACCCTGGCAAGTGCCACTCCCACTCCAGAAGCTCAAGATTTCAGTTGCTTGGAATCAATTTCATTTGAAACATATGACTCTTAGACTGCAATTTCTTTGAAGCATAATTTTTCTGACAAAGTGGAGGGATTTTCTAAGATCTGTATATCAAACACTAATTCAGTGCTATAAAATAGAGCTAAATTTACTAGGTAGATTGTAGAAGAGGAGCCAGTAGAGAGAATATAGGACAGGCAAGGGTATCAGGAGACTTGGGGTAAGGGTGGCAAGGACAAGGTCCTGGTGATTGTAGGATCTCTGATGAAAACAGGCTGGTGGATTACAACCACTAGAAAGACTGGCTAGAGTTTACTATAAGCTTTTGAAGTAGAGCCACATAAATGAGCCACCACAGGGCATGAGTTTTACAATGTAAGAAGGCTAGCACAAAATTATTGGACTCTGTTGAAAACCATAAGTTATTTGGGTACTTTAGTTTCCTTATCTATAAAAATAGGAATTTAGTTATATGGAAATACAAAATACTAGAACAACCAAGACAATTCTGAAGAAGAACAAAGTTGGAGGACTTTCATCTCTCAGTTTCAAAACTAACTATAAAGCTACAGTTATCAAGAAAGTGTGGTATTTGTATAAGATAGACACGTATCAATCGAACAGAAGTGAGAATCCAGGAGGAAAAAAAACCCTTACATTTATGATTATGTGATTGTTGACAAATGTGCCAACATCATTCATTACAGGAAAGAACAGCTTTAAAAAATAATGCTATTATAATTGGATATCCATATATGTGCAAAAAGATGAACTTAGACCGTTACCTCACAACATACAAAAAATTAACTCAGTGTGATTATCGACTTAAATGTAGGAGCTAAAACAAGAAAAGATTTAAAAGAAAACTTTGCAAAATTTTAGAACCTGGGCTAGACAAATATTTCTTAGATATGGCATAAAAAGCATGGTCCATAAAAGAAAAAAAATGATCAATTTGATCTCATCAAAATTGAAAACTTTTGTATTTAAAAAGATAGCATTAAGAAAATTAAAAGAAAGCAACATAAAAAAAAGGCAAGCAACTGAGAAACAATATTTGCAAATCACATATCTGGTAAAATACTTGTTCCTCAGTCTTGGTCTGCTCTGAGAAAGAGGTTCTGCTTGCAGGGGTCAATGATGATGGTTGCGGGGAGGGGGCATGCTTCTTTTTACTTGTGGTTTCAAATTACCACAATAACTCCAAGACTGCCTTAGGGTTTGTCTGTAATATAGAAGTACCAAAGAGTGCCAAACAGGCTAACACTGGATAGAGTAAAATCAATTGGTTCAAGAGAACCAGGTTAGGAACACCAAGAACTGGTAAGGTGATACTTTGCAGCCTTGCCAAGCAAAAACAGACCTGAAGCCACTACTAGAACCTTGTCAAGCACTCACAGAAAGAGCAAAAATAGACAATTTGCTGAATTGAGTCACTGTAATAATTTTCAATAACAGTAACACAGTTAGCTGTGTTTACACAGCAACCCACAGGTCTAGACTATGAAGACAGCCCAAGTTCAGGATGCTAATGCAGAGTCATCACAGACTAAGTCAACATTTAGGGCAAGATGTCCTGCTAAGCTAACCTTGGGGTTTGATCTGTTTTACTTCCAAAGGACCTTTTTCTTTCTGTTGCTTGTCTGAGAGGTAGGGGATGTAGGGATACATGTGCATATTGTGATTATGTGTCTGCACATAGGAAGGGGAGTTTCTTTTCCTTACTTGTATTGTCTTGGGTGTTCATCTCTTCTGGTGTTGAACTCCAGAGAAATTTTAGCATCCAGTCCAATTCCAAAATAGTTGTTCATGACACACCTTTCTTTGAAGCATCTGAAATTAGCCAAAGAGAAGAGGACAGACATTGGTGCAGGAAAGAAGTGCACTATCATTGGGCTGAAGACTTCATATGCATGATCAAAGACTACTGAAGGAATGTCCCTTCCACACTGAGCACAAGGCTTAACATTCTTAAGAGGCACATGTAGGTGTCCTATTGTGTTAACAACTAGCTTTGTGAGCTGTAAGAGAGGGCACTCAGTTAGTTGAGAGGATTCAGTGGGATTGGGATTCATAATAAAGAAGTTGTTTTTGGAGGCTCTGAGATATGAGTGGCCAATATTTTTTCCACATATAACAAAGAGAAATAGAATCATTGATTTATTTCCATAAAGAACTTTTGAGTACCTGAGATAAAATGAACTAGAGTAAAGTCTGCATTACTGTTTTCAGAGATGTCTGAACTCCTTTGTAGCACTTTCACATCAAAGAGCAAAGTGACCACACATTTGTGAGAAAAGACTGATAAAAGCTCCTTTTTTTCTCTCTCTCTTATCTATCTATCTATCTATCTATCTATCTATCTATCTATCTATCTATCTATCTATCATCTATCTATCTATCTATCTATCTATCTATCT